AATACTCACTACTCATGAGTACTTTTAAAAGGGCTATACTTTACTCATACTTTGAGTAATATTTACAACAGATACTTTTACTGTATTTGCTCTAAATCTTTGGACAAGTAATGGTATACTTTTACTTGAGTAGGATTTTTCACTGGGCTGCACGGTGGCGCAGTGAGTAGCATGATTGGATCACAGCAAGAAGGTCGCTTGTTCGAACCTTGGCTGGATCAGTTGCATTTCTGTCTTGAGTTTGCATGTTCTCCCTGTGTTGGTGTGGGTTTCATCCAGGTGCTTCGGTTTCCCCACAATTGTAAAAACATGTGGTATAGTATGGTATATGTGTGTAAATGAGTGTGTATGGATGTTTCCTAGAGATGGATTGCAGCTGGTAGGGCGTCCGCTGTGTAAAACATATGCTAGATAAGTTTATGGTTCATTCTGCTGTGGCGACCCCAGATTAATAAAGTGAAAATGAATGAATGAATGATTTTTTTTCTGCACTCTTTTCAATACTGTTGCCCACTGATATATCATGTTTTGGTCTTGGATTACATTTAGATTACTTTTGTGCTAACTCATGTTTAGGGCCACACAGAATCTGCGGACAATTTTTGCTATTTCTGCTAAGATATTTTTGTAAAAATCTGCGGATTTCTGTGGAATTATTTTGGGAGTATCATAACTAAAACTTTAATATGTAAATTAAAAAATATTATCTTTTCAACTTTTTATTTAATGTTTAAAATGCAAATCCAATTAGATTCACTTTATTTGTTAACCAAAGCAAGTCTCTCATATAATATCTCTACTAAAAGACAGAAAATATTACTTTACAAACTGTATTGTAAATAAATCAGATGAACAGTTTCATATTAGTCAATAATATTACTGTAATTAATTTAAAAACTGAATAATTATAGATTTACACACATTTACTCAAGTAAATAAACATAATTAATGATGGGCTAAAAATCTGTGGAAATCTGCGGAAATCTATAGAAAATCAACGGAAAATCTGCGGATTTCTGCGCTCGCAGATTCCATGTGGGCCTCCCATGTGTGATGTCACATATAAAGTTGAAACCAGAAGTTTACATACACTCTAAAAAAAGAAACATAACAATTTTTTTTTAAAAATGTTTGATGGTATATCACTAAACGTTTACTATTTTAAGTCCGGTAGGATTGCCTAAATGATTTACATTTGCTAAATGCTAGAATAATGAGAGAATTTTTTTTTTTTTGAGAATTTTATTAATTTATGGACCGTCAAAAGTTTACACACATTTCCTTGGTATTTTTTGCTTTGTTTTTTAACTGTATAACTTTGGTCAAATGTTTCGAGTATTCTTCCACAGGCTTCTCACAATAGTTTGCAGAACTTTTGGCCCATTTTTCCTTACAGAATTGATGTAACTAAGTCAGATTTCTTGGCTGTCTTGATCACACAAGCTTTTTCAACTCTGCCCACAAATTTTCTATAGGATTTAGATCAGGGTTTTGTGATGGCCAATCCAAAACATTCACTCTGTTGTCCTTAAACCACATTTTAGCTAATTTGGTAACACGCTTAGGGTCATGGTGTGTTTGGAAAACCCATTTGTGGACAAGTTTTAATTTCCTGGCTGATGTCTGAAGATGTTGCTTCAGTATTTCTACATAATGTTCTTTCTTCATGATGCCATCTATGCTGTTAAGTGGACAAGTCCCTTCTTTAGGAAAACAGCCCCACAACATGATGCCTCTCTCATTATTCTGCTATTAAGCCTAACAGAAACAAATTTGATAATCCTAACCTACCTAAAAGAGAAAAAGTTTAGTCACATTAACATCTGACTTTTATTAAATGGCTATGTGTCTTTTTCTACAGTGTATGTAAACTTCTGGTTTCAACTGTATATTGATGTAGGATGCTCTTGTGTTTTGACAGATGCAAAGAAAACACATTTATTCCATTTTTTAGTACCAGCAGTCTAACCAGATCTTTTAAAAGTGCAATGTATGTTAATAAAAATAATCCTTAAAAATTCTAACACTAATATAGAGTTGGACAATGAAATGCCTGCTTTTTTTGCAGCCGATACAGCATCAATTAATCTTGGGCCAGATCACTTCATGATGCAGGTGGAGAAAAATGTTTCCTGACTAGCTCCTCCAAAACAGTCCAAAGTGGCTCAATAATATTTATATGACCAGAATGGTCCTCGGAAAGGACATACCCTTCTAACACAATTATTGAGCCAAGTGAATGCCATGATATTGCACCCCAAAGCACCCATGCTTTACTCTGGGCATGCAACAGTCTGGGTGGTACTGTACGCTTCTTTGTGGCTTCTCCACACGGTAACTCTACCAGATGTGGGAAAGAGCGTAAAGGTGGACTCATCAGGGAATACATGTTTCACATTGTTTACAGCTCAAGATTTGCGCTGCTGGCATTGGCACAAGTGACCAAAGGTTTGGCTGTAGCACCCAAACATCCCTTTCAGACAGCTTTCGCTTGCATCCAGTTACTTCTGTTAGATGTGGCTTGTCCTTCTTGGTGGCATAATGACATTACCCTGGATAGCATGGCTTTTGATCTGTCACAAAGACTTGCTGTCTTGGTCACAGATGTGCCAGTAAGACGTGCACCAACAGTTTCTCATCTTTGAACTCTGATACGTCACCTATAATGTATTGCAATTTTGCATTGCAAGATTTCAAGCAAAACTGTGCTATTACTCTGCTAATTAAACCTTCACACTCTGCTTTTATTGGTGGAATGTGCAATCAGTAAAGATTGGCCACCAATGGACTGGTCAAATTTAGCCAC